TCAGATTTTGGAGCTGCTCATAAACATAATGAGATAACAGACAAATTGAGAATGAAGCTCTGGAAACATCGATAATAGTAGGACATTTGTCTTTGTTAATCAAAGAACATCTACTGTAGCTTGTAGTTAACCATTACTGAGAACTCCTACTTCCTCCTTCCAAGTGAAAAGGTTATTTTCTGAGGCGAAGCTAATGCAGATAGTAGTGGCCAATACTTGAATGACTTCACCTTGCTAATGATAATATGGAAGATCTACAAAAACAATATAATTAGCTAATGAACCTAAGCACTATGCAAACTATACAAAATTTAGATAAATGGAATACTGAGATTGAACACAAATTAGTAACACTGTGCCTGTAGAGCAAAGTGCAGAAGATTGTACTTCACAATTCAGACATCAATGGTAGCCACCATGGGCTCTATCCTCTGAACTACGTTGATTGAGGCTTTATTTCTTTTTAATTGCTTTGAAGAGTACCTACATCTTTATAACGCCTTTATAAAGAACCAGTGTTCGCACTGTTCATGTAGGCCAGTAAAAGAAAGGTTCATGTGACACTATAATAAGTAGTTATGAAAACAGATTGAATCTAAAATGCAGCTAAATGAATGCAATAGAAAAAGTTACCATAGCTATTTCTAAATAACTGGATATGAAAGAGAAGTAGCACAAAGCAACACATATGGCCTTTTGAAGGAGGCAAGTGCATCAATGCTACCTCTGAATATAAAATTAGGCATATTGGGGCAACATATTTCTGTAGAAAATTGAGGGATTATAAAAAACTAAAAGGTGGTGTTCTATATAGAACAATAATTAGATCGTGTGAGCCTAGAGCAAGAGCTTTACAACAATAGTAGGCAACAAAACTACTCCCTCCGATCCAAAATGTTCAAAACTGCGACGCCTATTATGGATCAGAGGTATTATAAATCAGCATGATCAACTTATAATGTAGGGTTCTGCATCCATTTTAAATGACTCAACAACATACAGCTAAGATATACCGATTTGTCATTGTAGAAGTACACAATTCGCATAAATGACAAAAAAGGAATGCACATATGTGCATTAGAATCAAAGTGGCCAAAAGTGAAGCACGGAGACACTTTATTTTCAAAGGAGGTGAAATTACCTTGTGAATCATTGGCACCACCCTAATTCAAGCTATAGGAGCATAGGGCCCTGAGCAAAAGAAGAAAACACAAAAGATTTAGTTAGTGGCCACAAGAGGACAAAGAAAGTAAACTGCACTATATATTGCTAGCTATGACAACGTCCAAAATATAATTAAAATCTAACGATCAGATCCACTTGTACATGTTTGGGCTCAACGGATCAGAGAACATATAGCGCAGTACATCTCCGTGTTTTTTATAGGAGTCTAGTAATTATATGAATAAAAACAGATTAACCGCTACATGGATTATCCGGGCAAACCGGCACATACATCGACTCTGCGAAAACTATGTTTGGGATAGAAAGGAGAACAAAATGAAAGCTCAAGAAATCATCACCATTCCCCATAAGAAGCATGCTCCCTCACAACAACATAGCTGGAATAAAAAATATATCTAAACGAAGAGTAGACATGTTATAGAGATAAAAGTCACAAAGAAGTGAATATATCTTTTGAAACTAACAATACAAATAGAACCAAGATAGAAAGTTCAAGACATGTGAATGTATCTTTCATGACAATGTTAAACAGAAGCCACTTTCCCAGATTTCATTGCATACTGAACCAAGGCACACACATGGACATACACTGGATCCAACTTGTCTATTTATCAAAAAAGAAAGTAGTAGGAACGTCTTTAAAGAGAAAATACCACATCACCAAACATCAAATGCTTAAGCTTGAAAAGGTATGCATTCATCCACTGTTTACAATCGATCCTACCAGGAAGAAACATTTAAACAAAGTACATCAAGCGCTGACAAAAATATAGGAGCATCTATTCTAAAAAAATCTGAATGCTAACTAAGATTTTTTGAAGGAGTGAAAATCTAGTATGATACATCACATCTTAAGTTCAAGTGTAGATAATTTGATATCCAATATAACAGAAGCTTTAGTTAACAAAGATCAAAGGCATGAGCTTGAGTTAGATGATTCTAAAATAAAATCAAGATGCGTTAGAAATAACTCGCATAATATATACCATACAGAAAATATACACCTACAATTTTTTTAATTGGCCAACAATACAATAAAACAAAGAGGAATAATCATTACTGGTCAGAATGATTAATCAACAAAAAGTGCGACTCTAGAATTTGAATTGTGATATAAAGCACAACATCATCATCTTTCTCCCTACTATTACATTTGGATTGTGTGACTGCAAAATAGGCATCGTAATACAACAAACTGAAACAATGCAAAATAATTACACAGGAACAAAACCTTGGGTGTTGGCTAAGACTTCATGCAAAAAACACAGGGAAGAAATAACTCACTGATGCCGAAAACAATAGGATAATCACCACATGAACAAACAGAGATGCACAATCTAGGTTTTTTGGTGCCCAGTTAACGATGCATGTAGTAGGTAATACAACCAGGTCCCTCATGTAGATAAACACCAGTTTTCCTATCAAATCAATAATGAAATTGCAGTAAGCGGCACAACAGGAAAACCTATGCTAGTAACCAGGCCAATACCTCAATGTGAAGTGCAAACCTGAAGCATCATCTGACCATGGCGACTAACGGAGCGACAAACTAATTAATTGAGGCATTTTCCTGCACTCAAGAGGCAGTCAGGAGATAAGAGAAAGCAACACAAGAACAAACATATGCTAGAAGAGCATGTAAAGCATGCATCCATGAATAAGATGCATTGAAATAACAGCTGGAACCTGAGTACAAGCAAGGAAAATATTAGAATGCAATGAGGCATGAATATTAGAAGGTAGCACATGCGCACATCAAGACAGCAAAGAGGTATACCTAACAAAGGCTAAACATAAGCGGAGAAACCTGATCTATAGAAGTATATAAGAGAGACAGCCACCCCGTGTAAATTTGAGCACAACCAGGATCTATAGAAGTGACCAAAATGCTAGGTCCTACCAGGATCTATAGAAGTGACCAAAATGCCCAATTCCAAATGCCAAGCAAGCACAAAAATAAAGGCAGGGGATAATAGTTTTACATGCTAGGCTTCTACCAATAAGAGAACAAAAAGCAGATACATCCATTGTCCAAACAAAATCTAACAACCGCTTCATACAGGAAGAAATGTAAGCCTAGGCCTGGAAAGCATAGAAGAGAGGGGGAGAAGGGGACAACCTGCAAAGAGGTGGTCGAAGATAGAGCACGACAAACTGGCCAGAATAACGAGCACCTGTAGACAGCGGACCAACCTGCAAGGGGAAAAAGAGGAAAAGGTACAACCATGGATGAGCTGCAGTTAACCAGAATTTAGACGGTCCAAAACAAAACCATGGATGAGCTGCAGTTAACCAGAATGAGAGGGGGGGCTCACCACAATTGTGTTGGGTGCGAGTTGAAGAGGGAGGTAGGGATGTTGGCCTGCTCCTCTCAATGATATCAGATATAACCTTTCATCTCAATGTATTATTTAGTTATGTTACATGCAGAATGAGATACAAAAAGAACATGTAATATACAAAAAAGGGAATGCAGCAACAGCAGAAAGAAATGCTAAAAGGGAACATAGAGCAGAAAACCAACCCAAAATGCAAGCAAGAATCTTTAAAAGGGAACATAGAGCAGCATGAGCATGAGGCATAGAAAAATGGGGTCACCTTAAGATCAAGAATCAGTGGCCCTCTCCCAGTTCAAATCAGATGGATAGAACCACTATATAAATGGGGTCACCTTAAGATGAAGAATCAGTAACCAGCAAAGGAAGAATGCACCTTTTTGGAATTTTAAAGTAGCAAGACATTAGAAGTTCTCTTTTGCCTTCAATACTACACACATTAGGGGAGGTAGCTGCAGTTTTATTGCATAGTGGGCTCAGATTCGCCTTTTCTCGATCATATAACCTATCCCCATCATCTCTTATCACCAGATCAATCTGTTTACACAATGGAGCTGCCTTGGTTATCACTCAACAAGAATGACCATCCAAGGACAGATCAATAGGTATCACAGGATCAAAAAGGATTCTAGAGACAACAGGGAGGATCCAACTTGATACCCACAGGTGCCTTGATTGCTCAAAGGCACACTTATTCCAGCCACAGTTAATCATCATCTCCCTAGCACGAACGCCAGCCACAGACAAAGCGAAATGGCGAGAATGCCCCCGGTGGGGCAGGCTATTTACGCGCGGTGGCACGGTCAAGGTGAAACTGTTCATTCCAGCAGTAACTATTTTTTATCCGACGGACAAGGTCGTTCCAGGGCTCGATCCGACGGCTCGGATCGCATCAAGCGCGCAGATCCAACGGCCAGGAGCCCAAATCGCTGAGGAGTCGGAAGGAGAGCTTCTATTCTTATCTCTGGATGGCCATGTCCCATACAGTAGCCAAAGCAGAGGAGAAGGAGGAAGATGGAGCTCACCGAGGAAGGTTGTAGCCGAGGCAGTACTCACTGCACGCCGGGGTTGCGCGTGAACGCCGTTCAACCGGCAAGGAACCGCTTCCTACACCGCACATCCACCACGCGACCACGTCGGAGTTGCGCCTTGCATCGTCCCGCCGACGAGCACGAACGCCACGGTCACATAATTCTCCTTGAAAACCACATATGCACACATGCTCTCATCTATTAGTATAGTTATACATAGAAATTGCTAGTTGCTTCAAACCAAAAAAACTTAATTCACGCATTCATTGCCCCTTTTCACACAGAATAATGCATCAAATCCTATGACTCAGAAGTTGTTGATCATAACAGGCCATGTCGCTTGTCTTGACACCAACGTGTGTTGTTAATGAGACCAAAAACTATATTAAACGACAATGGCCTATCTTTTCAGTGAACTAATTACCTAACCAGCAGTCATTTCAATTTATCAATTGAAGAATTCCCCAAACAGAAATTGAGGAGCAGGAGGAAGTTGGAGATCACCGAGGGAGGTTGTAGCCGAGCCAGTAATCAGTGGGCGCCGGGGTTGCGCCTGAACGCCATCCAGCCGGCGAGGAACCACTTCCCCGGACATCCACACCGCTACATGAAGTGAAACTCTCCTGGCAAAGCAAAGTAAAATCTTATGACCAAATGTAATGGAAAATATAAATGAATTCCTTACCTACTACATTTTGTGAACCAGAATAAGTGGGACCATATCTAGAGTATCATTCTCATGTTCGCCTTGGACAGAGGTTAATCGACGTGGTGTATTGAAACTCAGTACTCAATACTCCAGTTACATGTCAGTCCTAGACTCCTAGTGCTTGGTGATGCTCACGAATGAGGCAGGGGTGCGGGCAGCACCGTCATGGCTCACATAGGCACAACCCACGTGCTACCTATGTTAAACACCGTGGAGGAGAAGTGGCAGATGTGACGTGCTAGCTGGACGGACGTGGCGGTAGTGGGCAACAACTGTAGTACTAAAAGAAAATCAGCGTTGTTTAAGGTAGTAACAGCCACGATCGAAAATAGTAAGTTTTGGTAATTATAACCCGACTACTTGTACACAATGAGACAAAATCTAGAAGGACCATCTAGCCAAACCATAAAAAGTATATATTCATGTTATCACCTGAAACCAAAGTTCCATGGAAGCATTCAGTTCAATGATAAACCATGCCATCTTGATTCATGCCTTGTAGGTATATGGAAAGGACCAAACAAGGATATCTCACAATTTAGCCCTCCCTTAGTGTGAGCCGATCCTGCATATGCAGTTTTGAAATAAAGAAAATTAGACAAATGCACCTTTAAATATCGAGTTGTGCATAATTCTTATTGAAACAAAAGAAATATACTTCGCGAGAAGTAAAATTAATTAGTTACATTCTGACATAAGTAGCTAACAGGCATCGTTAAAACAATATATTTCTATAATGACCAAAAAGGGTATATGCATGTATGGAAACTATCAGGAAGGTGAGTTTAGAAATCGACAGAAGGAAATTCAAGCATATTTAATTTTAAAAGAAGAAAGAACAAAATCTGATATTTCTTTTGGAAGTGTGTGTATAACAGCAGTACACAAAGCTGTGACTTGGAAAATTAAGGATTATCAAGTAAACATAACACTGACTGCCATCATGAGCAAGGTCCATCTCTCTGGACTCGGAAAAATATAATGCAATCTTGGTAGCACAAATATACACGTAGAAAACAAAACATGTGTGGATCCTTCTATCAAAGGTTACAGAAAAAACAATTTGAACTCACTATGTTACTTAGAAAATGTCTTGGTAAGACATATATACAATATTTATGAAGCCCTCTAGTTTGATAAGAAAAACAATGGAGGAGCCGAGATTTAGTGATCCTTTAGCATGGAACTAAATATGAAGGCATGGGTATGACATAGAAGCCCTTCTTCCACTATATGTTTATCCACTCGAGGGGAAATGAATCACTTACTTTATATGAGATAATTTCAGTACCAATAAAGTTCAGACAGACAAATTCAGCACCTAAATGATCATATATAAGTTCAGTTTGTTTAATGAACCTTTATATTGCACTTTTTATCCCTAGGTAAAATGAAACATCTGTAAAAAAACCACAATAAAATTATATTAACCTAAGGAACTAAATCAAAATAATTAACCAAAGATAAGAGTTCTAGGTATACGGCAGGACATATACTCTCTTCATTAGACGTAAGCAAGCAATCCAACAAATACAAACACAAGAATCGATCCCGCGAGGGGCGAATCCACTGGCCACGGGAGAGAAAGATGAGGGGATTGGGAGAAGGTGGGGCCCTGCAGCGATGGGGAGAGGGTGGGGGCGCGGTGGCGGTGGTTGTGGACGACGGCAATGACGCCGGGGAAGTGAGCGTCGGGAGTCGGGCGATGGGGAGAGGGTGGGGGCACGGTGGCGGTGGTTGTGGACGACGGCGACGATGCCGGGGAAGTGAGCGTCGGGG